TAACAAAAAATTTACTACAGTTTTCAAAGAAATGTGAATGCTTTCAAGTTGTATTGGAGAGAGAAAGTATAGCTAAAAATGACTGATTACTTTAAATATTTATTTTAGGAAACTACTCTGATAAAGAACATGAGTATTAGCTTTCATATCTCTGTATCATGTTAAATGTACAGAAGGCCAGGCCCCATTTTTCATTTTACCATACCCCAAAATCTTCGCTCATACTTCGAAGTTGAGGAAATGATCAGGTTTATATTCTCCTTATTTCTAAAGAAGTTTTAGAAATTAGTTTCCCACTAAGTTTCAAGGTGCATTTTCCTAGGACCCAGCAATTCCCTTCGTAAATACATACCCATGAAATCCTCACAGGAGTCCCAGGAAGGATATCTGGCTAGTTAGAAAGAGGCATGAGGAAGCATCTGGGAGTGATGAAAATATTTTGTATCTTAATTGGGTGGTGGTTTCATAGATGCACGTATCTGTAAAAACTCATCGAACTGTACACTTAAGATCTGAGCATTTCATCATATATAAGTTATACCTTAAAAAACTACTGGCAGAATATGTGTATACACTTAATAACAAAGAAAGAATCTATACTTCTCCCTTATATTTTTTATAATATATTTATGTTAAACCATTCTTGCTTATTGATGCTTAGATGTAAATCTCCTATTTGATAAATAATAACATTCCTAGGTACTTAACAGGAAGTTTTCATATTTTTCACTTTACATAATTCTAAAGCATTACAGAGCAAGTAATATTGAAATACTCCCCTTGAGTATGTAAAGTCAAATATTTAAGGCAGGTCACAATATGTATAGGAACAATAACCCTTCAACACAGAATTCTACTTTTGAGAATTCATCTTAAGGGAAAATATGAAACAAGGATGCAAAGACATATGTAAGCAAGGTGTCCACCACACCTCCACGATGGCAATCCCACTCAGACACACAGAAGCAGCCCAAAGGTCTAAATGTCCATCGACAGAGACTGGTTCAAGGAGGGTGTGGTATGATATTTTACTCAATAAGATATCACAGAGCCATTAGAATGAATGAATCTAATTGCAGATAATATGTACTGAAGAGCAAAAAGGTCTGTCCATGGATTACTGAGGTTGGACTAAAGGCGTAGCAGGTAACAAAACCATATATATTATTTTAAACATGAAACTCTGTGTATGTGTGTTAAGTAAGCAATTCACAGCCCAGAAAAATATACATCAAATGTTATCTATCATTTCTTAAACCAAATCAGTGCTTTTCATGAATCTAGAACTAAACGCAATTTATTTTGGATTAATGATTGCTGTCTGAGAATTATCAAAAAGTATGTTATAACAATTTATATTTAATAGCGGCTCCTTAATTTTTGTTTGTTTTTCATCATAAATTTGA